AAAGTAAAAGAGCACAGATGAAGCTGTTGCAGAAGGAGAGGCAATCATTAACCTTTACACAACTAGGACAGCTGAGCCTGGTGCAGTTTACTGAACAGATGGAAGGTGGGAAACATTATATGCAGGCTAATGGGATTCTCATGTTTCAGTCCAAAATGCACAGAGGGAAGTGGTGCATGCATGGGACTTCATTGCACACACACTCAAGCAACCCAGCTCAACAATAAGTCGGATGCTACTGTGCAAGCCTACTGTTGCAGGGTAATAAAACTATCTGGGAACATACAGAAGCAGCAAAGGATACAGGTAAAAAATGGGCCACACGGATAAATCAGACCTTGGTCCACAAATGTATCTCCTACAAATGTGCAATATTCCAGGGTGAAGACCCAGATCCCCCGCGGGTAATACAAGAACGCATACCAACGCGGGCTTGTATCAGCATGAGAGTTACCCAGCCACAGGACTGCATCCTTCCAGCACAGATGTATTTCTGCTATCCTGTGTTGAGCTGGCACGCAAAGCACGGACCGACCCTAGTGCTTTGGTTCTACCTGTGACAGGACACTGGGGCTTCTCCAGAGACCTTGCTCAGCCCACAAGACCTGGTATTGCACCGCTTGGCTCAGAAGCACTGCACAAGGTCTGTCCTTGTGTACTTTCCCAGACAACACAACCATGGGTATGCGTGGTGAGAGGATGAGATTTATGAATGTCTAAGGTATGTTGAGTAGTAAAACATGCCTCCCCATGGACACTGTTTCATGACAGTTGTACTATGATAGCTAGCAGCCTCTCTGGCACACTAACGTAGCAAAAGTTCAGAGCATCTACTAGGGAGGGCTGAGATGCATATAGTTACCACGAAGTTCCATACTGGTAGTCTCAAAGAGGCAGATTTGCGTTTCACACCATGTCACAGCACAGAAACTCTCAGCAAATGCCTTTAACTCCAACCCTTTCTTCACAACATTTACTCAGATCTAGTTAGTTGAAATCTACGTGTCAGTTATGCCTGTCTGTATAAGCTGACTATCAACAACAGGACACCGGGCATCAATGTCCCTACACAAAATACTTCACCTGAAAGAGCCAAGCATACTCTGTTCCAAGGAGAATCTTCATAGGATCCTGCAACACTGTCTTGTGGAAAATGAGTCATGTCTGAATACATCATAACAGAAAGCCCAGTGAACCAACAACCCATCTATCCAGAGACAGGTATCTGTTCAGGCTGTGATGTCATTTTTATGTCTTCTCTGTGTAGCACAAGCAACACAGCCATCAGAAAAGTGAAGTGGGGTGTGCAAAGCACTGTGGAGATAGGCAGGTTGCTCACTGTGCAACAACAGGACCCTAACGAATTGTTCAGAGCAGCCTGATAACTAAGAGCAGCAGGTACCCAACCTATTTCTTAAGCGCACAGTTATGCTAAAATATTCCAGAATCTGCCTACCCAGAATAGATCCCCAAGACCACTTAAAAAAAAAAAAGCTGGCTCTCCTGTCCAATTGAAAGTATTCAAAGAAAAGTGTCAGTAGTTTCTAGCACTGTTATTGATCTAACATCTGCTCATTCTTACTGTTGCTGTCATAGCTCAGGGTGAAGCTGGAATGCTCACAAAACCTAGTGTTATCCTTAGTGAAAAAGCTATGACAAATAGCAACGTGGTACTAAAGGTCAAGCAGAGAAAAAAAACCCATAAAAACCTGGGCTGCACAGGACAGAAATGGTTCCATAATTTAGCACTATTACACAGTCCGCCCCACACCTTCTCCTAATAAGCTTAATGGCATCAGGGAAAAGGCAATGTTGCTCTAGCTATTGTGCTGGAGATAATGGACAATGGTCCTGCAGGATAGCAGCACTACTAGTCTATAGATTGTATGGCAGAAGGGACCATTGTGACCACACCGCCTTCCTTCCTGTGCAACAAAAAAGCTGTAAGGCTTTTCCGAATGAATTATTGTTTGACCTATTATCTGTCTGTTGGGCAGGCACATTACCCTGAATGAGAAATGTCCAGTGATAGAAGATCCAGTAGAGTCTTTAGGTAAATTGCTTTAGTGATTCATTTGTCTCATCTTTAAAATTTTACAAAGTTTTTCTGGTTTTATATTTGTCCAGCTTCAATGCCAAACAATGTGCTGTTCTTACACATTGCCTGCTGGAGCTCTTTTGCTCCCCATATAACTATCACACTTGGTGAGCAAGTTATCAGATAGTTTTCATCTTGCAAAGTAGAGTAGAGTGAGGTCTGCAGTTCCAGGATAACAACTGCTTAACAATGTCCAAACTCTCACCAATTTATTAGTTGTCCTTCCTGAAAAGTGGATGTCAGAAACCTGGATTTCTGGCTAAAATACATTCACTGTTCTGTAAGAAATCACAGGTGCTTGCAAATCAAAACATACATCAGATATACTTGACAGTATGAGGATGGATGTATTAAGTCTGACAAGTTCCAGAAGTGCCAACAACTCGCAGAAGTATGAACCCAACCTAGCTCTGCACCAAAAGTTTGCTGCCTCAAATGGGAATGTATGAAGATCTCTTGCTTTCTTCAAAGCTTTCAATAGGCCCTCTCTCCTGTAGTGAACCAAAATCTACGACTTCAAAGCTTTTTTTTTTACTACCTGTATCTTCCTGTGGAGAACACTTCAGAAATGAGTAATCAGGCTGCATGCATGATTTCTGCCAGCCTGTGCGAACCAGTTGTTTCTGCAGCGCTGTTAGCAGCAACAACAACAGACGAACGGTGATCGCTGAGATCGGGGCATTAGCAGCTTTGGAACTAATCTGCTCTCCTCTAATGCCTATTCTCAGTCCACCATTGTACAGCAAATTTGCAGCAGAATGGGGAAAAGGAGAAGATCTTAAAAGCACAATGACATGAGAGGAGATCCAAGGAAAGTGCAAAACGGAATAAAACATTAAAATGAATCAAAGTAACTTTGCTTATACAGATAAACAAGCATTCATATATGCAGTAGTCAAAATAAATCAGAAGTATGGTCTAGGAATCTCTCAGAGAGAAAACAGCTGAGGTGGTTTCATCCTGTTTACCCACTCTGATGACAGGTCTACCAACATATTCCTCTCCAAGTTTGACTGCTCTATCACACATATATGCTTGAGTGCACTCGTTCACGCAAACACACACTGAGTGCATCTACCTGCACCCAGTGACAAACTCATTTAAATAATTGCCACCCAATACTACCCACGGTTTACAGAGATTCCCCTGGACCAGACATTATTGAATTTCCATTACCACAAACCAATCAATCCAGGCAAACATCTGCAAGTGGCCTTCCTGGCACACAACACAGCTCTTTCAATACCAGAGAGGATGTTAGGGAAACAGATGGACTACAAACAAGGTCTCGGAATTGCCGCTGAATTCCTAATAGGTCCACAAGAAGCCAGAAAATAGACCCAAAATGAAAGCCCACAATGCAGTATGTTGCGACCTTTGAAGGGAGGACAAACTCCATTCTCCTCTGTAAGGACATGTGGTCATGTGCTTTCACTGCCTGTTGCTGACAAAGAGTCAAAGTGCTAGCGTAGGTCACAACAGAATAAATACTTCCAAGCGCATTTCACCACCTTAACAGTAAAAAAGTTACACTACTAAGGTTCAGAAGAAAACCAGGAATTTAGAAGTCTCCAGCCAGCGTTGTCATAGGTTCATGAAGGACTGTAGGAAATAACTTTACCCTGAACAGTAGCTATACTGTGCTTAAAACCAACTTTTGTTCTGCTCAAAGTACTTTGATTTGCTGAAGTCTGTTGCATTTATTTATGAACGCAGCATTGCACTATTTTCTGTGTTTTCAACTGCCCTATCTTAGGCTAGGGCTTTTCTACTTTACAGCCTCCATTTCTTCTAGAGGGTAGACCTGGGAGAAGGGCTGAGCAGATTTCAGCAGCAGCTGTGCAACCTCCACATCACAACGGACGGTGCCTGCATCCGGCTGAACGGGGCACACAATATACTTTCAGCTTACAGAAGTGTGATTTTTCTAAGCAGAAGGCTGCTGTGGTGTGAAATCTGGTGACTTGAAGCTCTGTGACATCAGTGTTCATGTCTATAGGGGTATGGTGTCTGCTCCTGAGCGCTGTTAACTGTAGTGGGCAATCACTGTGTTTTCAAGCTGTTAGCAGAGTCTTGGCTCAGAGACTTGGATGAGCTGGCGGCTCAGCTTTATGTTGAATTAGTTTGATAAAAGAACACCTATTGGGACCCATGTTTCACGTTTCTCAAAATACACAGTATAGTTGCTTGCGCCTCTTCTTACTTGAACATAACGCTCCTTTACCAGCAGCATCCTCCTTTCTTTTCTTCTCCAGAGTAGGAATTATTTTGGGAATGCCATTTCATTTCCTATTTCCTCTGTACAAACGAAGATAAGAAGATTGCTCTTGTGCCCATCCCTTACACATACCCCATCACCCATTTCCAAAAAGAAGAGAGCAGCTTTCCTCCCGTTCTGCACGAAACTCTCTGATACCCACAGTTTCCAGGGTGGAATTGCCAGTGGGTCCCAGGGTGTTTCAGCCTGTTTCTGTACACGCACCATGAGGAGCAGCCACACAAGAACCCAAGACAGCTTGGCTTCAGAGGGGACTCGTTATGTGAATAAATACAACTTGCATGAGTAACATGTTCTACCACTGGACACTTCCCCCTGTTTTTAGTGTTTTTACACACAGAATTAACAATTTTCTGTGGGCCATTTTAGAAGCATAAATTCAGCTCTTGATTCCTATACGAGGTGTAGGGCTCATAGCTTGAGATCTGCTTGCTGCATGGATTTATTTACCTCACATTTGAGACCAGTCTTACTGGATGGTTACACACAGTGGAAAATGCAGAAACAGAAGTACATGTTAGATACAGGATATTCTTATTTACAGAAGCAAAGGTAAAAATGAGGAAGTAAGAGTGAAGTAAAAAAAACCTGTATTTATTCAGTCCTATTGACTCTATGTCTTACCTTCCTATGGGTCCCAGATCTCCCGAGTCCTGGCTGCCTGCGTCACTGGGTGTGCTCACTGATTTCGAAGAGGGAGACATAGGGGTTGGGACTAAATAATGAAAATAACAGGTATCCCATGTTAACACATGCAGCGACTGCACTGATGAAGAGCAGTGTCAGACAAATCAAAACCAATGGACCAAAATGATAGTAGATGAATGATTAGGAGAGTTTGAAATGGTGAAAGCAAATAAGGAAAGGAAAGAAGAAGAAAAGGAAGAGAGTCAAGTGAATTTTAAGTCTGTTGTAAGTGTTAAAACTGACATGAATTTAGACAGGACTGAAAGCCCAATGGGATTCTACAGCTAATCAGTGGAGGAGATATCTGTGGAAATTAAACAGCACTTGTTTTCTTGGGCATACTTCAAAGCTGATTTGCAAAAGATTTTTAAGGTATGAAGAAATATAGGGGCTAGTCTTGTCAAAAAACTAAGTGAACTCTTCTGATAAAGTCAAGTAGGCAATAGAACAAGCATACTTTTCAAATTCTGAATTTAAATCAAAAGCCAGTGTCCATTAGATATGGTCTAAGGCTGCAGTGTGGAAATGACATCAAAAGTAAAAGCTAAATAAGGAAACCCAGCGAAGTCAAAATCATTTCCCAAAGATGGTGAGAATACACATTAGTTTGCTTAGCAATTGTGCTTTCCTAAGTAATATAGGTTGTATAAACTTTCCATTTTGGGTGGGACATGATTTCAACACTCAAGGAAAAGTTTCCCTTGGTTTAGATACTATTTGCCCAAGCTCTAGAAATGATTTTCTCTTTGGCTTGCCAGGGCTTTTGAAGCACATTTCATGCAAAGGCAGTTTTGTTTCCTGAAACAGGAAAGGAAGTTCATAGCTCAAGGTCAGCCCAAGTTGAAGCTCTTCAGCAAGGAAATAATAAATAAAAAGTAAAAATATCCTGATTTCTTTTAAAATGGTTTCTCAAACATATTTTAAACGCAGAGATGGCTCCAGTCAAGATTTAATGCAAGTATTCTTCAAAGCAGCCACACTGAATAAAATACAAAAAGGGGTTTTAATGCAAGAGCAAAGTTTCCCATTTGGTTTAAATCATGTGCATTTCCTTTTAGAGATTTAGCGGAGTAAAACTTTAAACTATTTTGTTATGCTCTATAATGTATAATGACAGACCTGTCAAGAGACTTGGATTTTCCATGTGGTCAAACATTTCATGAGGATTCTCACTAGAGACTGTCACAGAAATGACTGCAGCATGAAAAGTGAATTCATCTTTGTGACAACCCTTTGGCAGGTTACAGGTATGTCATAGCTGTTTATGTACTCTATATTCACACTGGGATCTGGGTGTCATATGCGTATGTGAAGGCAGAATTAAAGCTTCCTTTATGTATTAAATGTGAGTGTATATATAGGGAATGAAAGAGGGCAAAATAACATTATTTAACTAAAACGAATCATATGTGATTTTTCACATTCTTTTGATAGTATCAAACACAAAATAATTAGCTAAGATAAGAACTGATAATTTGCAACATGAATATATGTGTTTAGTTAATATGATAAGGAAATATATCCTAATTTTTAGATAAAAATGAGTATTTTAAATGCTAGAACTTTAAAAATTTATCTGATTTTATAATATCATTATATAATTTACAAAACATATTTTATGATACATAAAAATAACCTAACCATTACTTGTCAGACAATTCTTCCAAGAAGTGGTATTTAAAAGCTTCAGCCACTATTGTCATAACTTATAAAAATAGTAGCTTTTCTCAAAAAATGTTGGTTGATGCAAGTTATGAATTGAAATCCCAGTTCAGAATGTCACATCCTATTTGCATATGCACCCAAGCATCTGTTAACGTGCTTTCCTAAATCAAGGCTTCAGTATTTTGTCAAATTGGAGTTTTTCCTAAATATTACAGGCAAGAATATCTAGGGGTAAAATCCTAGATTCAGCCCCAATGAATTTAATGACAAGGCTTGGTACTTCCAGAGAGGCCACTATTTCAGCTAAAATAGTGCAGTGATTCTGGATTCAAGGGAGAAGAAAGCACAGGAAGGAAGGAAGGCAGCAATATTCAGATACTATAAACTTTGCCCGTATATTTTTAAACTGAGGACTTCAGATTCTAGAACTGAAACATCAAAACCAAAAAAGACGTTGAGCACATGAAACCAGATCTAAAATCTACAGTAATGATCTTACGACAAGCTTTTTGCTATTTGTGATTTGTCTTTTTATTTCGCCTCTCCAGTTTTGCTTGATTTTAAAAGAAACTCTGTGGGACTTCCCACACGACTATGCTCCTCCTTCCTTAGCGAATCCTTAATCTGAATTTTTGCAACAAAACTTGGCGCTAATGAAGTGCAACATTTACAATATTATTTTGTGGGTCATCAGGTAGATGTGAGAGAAGATAAAACGATCCATCAGAAAAGAAATCATTGCTGGTATGAAAAACCAACCTGCATTACGTTCATAAAAAGTTCCTGAAGAAATGAAACAGATGTTTTTGGCAATGACAAGTGTTCAAAATGCCATGAGCTGGTATATGTGAATGGTATGGCAGGCATTCAAAGAGAAGAGTTCACTTCACTTATACAGCCAAAAATCAAAAAAGCCAAGCATGCTTTAATAGAACAGATGCATTCATTGTGGTGGAGCTGAATGCTTTAGAGTGTGCTTCTCTTAAATACCTAGAGGTGGTTCTGGGGATATACCAATGCTCTGTAACAAAGCTTCTGTCTCTCTTCTTTTGCGGTCTAGGTCAGAATCTTCCTGAGCTGGCTCCTTCTTTTGCTGTAGATCAGCCTGAGTTAAAACAAACCAAAAAAGGTTCATCCACATATAATCAGCTCTAGCAATTAAGTATGTGGAAATAGGTGCCCTTTAAAATTCACCTAGATACATTTAGATAATTTATAGCTTGGATAATTTATATTGTACATATCAGTAACAGTATTTTTGCCTGAAAGCATGGGAAAACTGATCTTTACAAGGAGATTTCCAAGGGTTTTTACAGCACACTGATGGATATCTTCTGTCTGTCACTCATCAGACGCAACTTGTTCAGCTAATACAAAAGCCGACCATAGAATAACAGATATCATTACCTGGAATAAAAATGGCACCCTTCCTACTTACTCAAGCATCAAGAAATAATATTCCTTTGGACTTCAGTGATGTAGTTTAAGGGCATCCGTTTGGTCCCATGCACTTGTTGGCAATAAAAATACTTTCTCATAAATGTCAACATCTCACAGGAGCAAAGGAAAGGATTAACGTGTTCAAAATAGGATTTTGGCAGCCCTGGGCGCTAACAGATAAAACTAATGGTACACAAGACCCCTCCCTCTTTGCTTAGAGATCTACACCTCCTTGGAGCTTCCACACATTAGCCTCCTCCCCCTCTGGCCTGCTGGGACCTAGAAACAGCAGGAGCAACATCTGCATTAGCCAGAATCCCTTACATTTGGCTCATCATTCCCCAGTTTAGTACGGTGGAGGGAAAACAACAATACACCAGCCTAGTGGTAAGAGCACTCCACCGAAAGAGACGGGCTTGTAGTCCTTCTCTCAAGCAGATGAGAGAACGGAACCCATGTCCCACTTTGTAGTCTAGTGCAGTAACCAGTAGTACAAGTAAAACAAAATGCAAGTGGTTGTGTCTATCATGCTGTCTCGTCTTAAATACAGCAGTCCCAGCATAGTTCTTATAGAGAATGACTGGAGGCATCTGCCTCTATACTTGGATCCTAAGGTTGCTTCTAAATTGGCTGATCCTATCTAGCCTCCACGCAGAGGTTTTCCTTTCTGCTGAAACCAGTCTGGGACACAGGACTCGCACAGTGCCTCAGCCTGGTGTTGATGTTGATGCGGGCATAACAGAAAACCTTGAAATTCAGAAGCACCCCCACATTCTCCAGTTGGGACATGGCCAGGATGCAGGAGAACACTGCTTTTACAGACAAAGTTCAGGCATATTCCTGTGCTCAGCTCTTCCCATGAGCCAGCCTGAAGTATTTCACAGTACACAGGGCTGTAGACAGGTCTTCTGCACCAGTGTACATGGCTAAGCACCTATGTGGATGTTAGACTTCATCTGGGAGGCCATCAGGCATCACAGTGCACTCCATTCACGGTGCCACGGTTAGGCGCTGCGGCATAATCTGTAGAGCTGGGTATCCCGAGCCGGGTCTGGCTGTCGGGGCCAATGGAAAGCTCCAACTACCACAAGATCTCCACAAGACATAAAATCAGAGGCAAGGGACAAAGGAAAGGACTTCATAGCTTTCTCGAGCCATTAGATTGTCTCCTTTCCCTCTAATTCATTAGCAGGCTAGTAATGAACACTGAAAATGTTAACATTTAAAGTTCTGTTTACAGAGGCCTCCCCTAGTGACTCCAGGAGCCTCATTGGGGGGTGTGCTGGTAATTGCACAAAAATGGCTCAGATTGAAAAAGATTAAAAAGACAGTCAAAACCAGAATGCTGATTTCTTGGATCACATCACATTTCCACAGTAATTCCATGAAATTCATGTACAATATTAAAGTGTCAGTTTAAAAGGAAACCAGTTATTAGTAAAGGATAACAGGTGCTTTAAACTATGGTAAGTGTTGACATTTGAAGGAAAGGAAACATAATCACTTAATGCTTCTCTGACTTTGCATGAAAATGAATATCCACTCCCTGTCAATTCTCACCTCTATTCCACTAAGTGACTGAATAAAGAGAAGTACAAATCCCTTAATGAAAAACCTAATGCATATTGTCAAGGACAAATAAACTAATATGTCAATCAAACTTTAACAGAACTGAAAGATGCACCCATGCCAGAAGTTGAAAATGCAATTGCAATTATGTTTTACTTTACTGGAGAATAATAATTGTAAATCTGTTACCTTAGCTAGTAATCAAACTAGTCTTCAGAGTACAAAAATACATATTTAGATTGTAATGGTTTGAAAAAAATGTGAGCCCTCTTTCTGTCTTTCCCCACTCTCCACTCCCTTCCCATTGAAGGAAAGCCCAGGAAAAAGCATTGCGGTAAATCGATTTTTCTTCCTACACACACACATACACATCATGTTGTCTAAACTGTTGTCATCTGACAGTGCAATGCACTGGTTTTAAAAGCAATTCCCTCGTCCCAACTTTCTTGACTAAAAATAAGCATTGATTTTAAGGTTAGACTGATGTGGGTTTGAGGATCTCACTGCACTTGACAGATACCTTGGGGTATACAATACTGAGACGTCAAAACCTCAGCAAGCCCCTTCTGTAAGCATGAGCTATCTAAAAGGCACTTTTGCATACTTACCTCTTTCTTCTTCCTTTCTTCCTCCTTCCGTTTCTTTTCTTCTCTTATCTGAGCCAAACGCTGCTTTTTGCGCTCAAGTTCTGCTTTTAAATCACTTTTGTCTGACATTTTGACTCTGCTGGAAATAAAATTATGGAAACCAAGGTGAAAACAGAATTAAATGTTTTCTCTATTCACTGAGAAAAGATAGTTAATTATATAAAAAATAGCACTTCTAAAATTGCTACAAACATGTATCTGTACAAACGCTGGCCCTTGGACTATACTGACATTGTAGAAAGCAGGATATCTGTTTCACAGTTTTTACTTCAAGAAATTAGACCAGAATTATCACCGAACTTAGAATATATTTTCAATTGAACTTTATTAGAAAACTGCCTTTCTGAAGCAAACCCATTTCTGCCTGCTGTTCAAAATAATGCTTTAATGCTTTTACAGACTGAAGCTAAAGTCTTTTGATTTTTATCAGCTTCAGCAGCTCTGCCAGACTGTAGAACCCACATCCACAATTTTAAGTAGGAGAACGAGATCTTCCCCAAACCACCTCACACATCTTAGACAAGTAATAATTTCACTTACAAAAACTGCACATGTGAGAGCTTTTGCTTCTGCAGGTGCCTTGAACGCCTGCCATCCCAGGACCCCTGTCGTTCCACTGGTACCAGTTGGGTCTCAGTATCCTTCATGTATTCACCCCTCTGGGGAGCACCCTCACCAAGCTACGGGCTACCCTGCACAGGAATCACCTCCAGCCTTTCCAATGAAAGCTGGGCCATTGCCCCAAAAAGCTGCAGACAGGGCACAAAATCAGGCAACCCAGAAAACCTGAGCTTCTCTTTAACAAAGCAGCACGTTGCTCTGCCAACAGTCTTCTTTGTCATGCTCAAATCTTCTTTCGAAGAGGCAGCAGACATGCCTAATATTCCTGATTTGACTCCAGTCACACAAATTTGGCAAAAGTGTTCCTTCTGAGCTACTGAAAGACCTCTCCCGCTATTTAGTCTCAAACACAATTCTCTGTAGGACAGGGATGTGAAATCCCTGTCAACCTATGTTGCTTTCACGTGAGCCTTGAAAATGAACGGTAAGGAGATCTAAAATCACATCATACAGAAACAGAGACAGATCTCTAAAGAATATAGGATATCAATCTTCTTCTACAGTCTTAAAACCCCACCAGTATTGCACAAACCCATAACTTAAGTCACAGGTAATTTATTTATTTTCTGACATCGTCATCATTATGGGCTGTCTCAATATGTATCAGTAACTGTATCAATACTGATTTTCTTATTAGCACTTTATTTCAAAGACAGTCCTGACTAATACAGACATTCATGAAAAGAGCTGTGCCTTTTCTATTAATTCACACATCACTGACCCCATCCACCACTGCAACCCAAAATCAATCAGATCAATGGCAGTGCCACGTATACGTAATGGAAGTCTATTGTTTGCTTGATGCACAGGAAATTTAAATGGCAACTCTCCACTAATATAATGAGAACTCCACCCATATTACTGCCTGAGTGGGTGGAAGACGGAGAGTAAATTTATATGATAAAAATTATATGGCAATTTCACCCATCATTAAATCCTCTGCAGTCATCAGCTTCCTCCTCAAAATCATACAAGCATAGCTAGCCCATGACACAGAGGATATTGCCAACAAAACACCACCTGCACATTAAACACAATCTTGGCCCCAAATGCTTTGTTCTCTTTGCAAGCATTTTCCTTTAATGAAACAAAAGAATAGTATTTGGAATAAGAAGAGGAAACCATTCAGTGAAAACAGCAGGCATAAGAGCAGCATGAGGGATGCCAGAGGGGCCAGCGTAGCTGTATCTGTGTGTGGACTGTACCACGGGTGCTAATATTTCCCAGTTAAACTCACAGCTGAAACCCCCCAGTCCGGCTCTCACTGTCACAGATTCTGCACTTCAGCAGAGCTGCCCATCCTGGCAAGGTACCCTGCAGTCCTTTCAAGGCCTGTGGACTCCCGGTTCAAGCCACAACAACTCACAGTAAATAGTATAGTTAGGAAGGCCATTAAACTGCTGACAAACTGGACCACTGGGTGCACTGGCTTTATGCAGAGCACCATCATTTCTTTATTCCTCCATCACTCTGGTTCTATTCGTGGTGATACTGTTCTCAATTTGAGAAACAGAAATCAAAACTGTCAGAAAAAAATGCATTTGATATCAAGAAATCTAAGCAGTAGCACCTTAAACAACATTAATCTGTGTGATCAGTTGACGATAGCAAGCTATTTTTAACATGAGAAATGCCCGGAGAAGCATACAAGCTTTTTAACGGCAGTGCAGGTAGTATTTTGCCTACCAATCTGCTCAGGCTTTGTGGGTCTCTCTTAGGTATGGCTGAAATCCCATTTGAAGTCATTTTCCTAATCTGTTGCACACATTTGAATTCTGATTATGAAGTTCCCCCTCAGAGCCCTTTGGACTAGATAGAGCTTTTGCATCCTTTTAGTTCTGCAGTTTGGCAACAGAGAGTGAGCTCCTGTTTCTATGCAGAAAATACACAAATGCATTTTAAGGCTCATGACAGAAACCCTGAGGGTTTGGCATCCCTTTCAAGTTGTTTGTCAGATATCAATGAACGGCTTTCTAAAAACTCGTTCCCTTAATGTCAGGGAAGCTAACTAGCTTCTTCCCTGATTTGAACATCAGTGGTTTAATGCCTGGCCCTTTCTTTACAATGCCCCAGTCAGGGTGATCAAATCCTATTATAACTTTGCCCTATTTTTAACAAAACACATCTTACATGCAACAAAGATGATGTATTAAATTTCCTTCAAAGAATGTTGCCAGAGCTGAGTTATAGAAAGAAATTAATCTCAAATTACTTTCATCCTGCATATATTATAGTAATGCCTTAGCCCTCCAACCAGCCTATCAACCTTCAAACTGGCTATTTACAATTTTAGCACAAATTGAACACCAAGGGTATGTAACTACCCTTCTCAGATGTCAGCAAGTCAGCAGTGAGCAAAGAGGCAAGCGTACTCGTCGCTCTACTTGGCATTAACCACAGAGTTAACACTCTGTGTTCATTATTGGGAACAAATTTCTAATAATTGTCATTCTGAGTGCCAAAAGGCACGTCACACCAAGAGACATACAGGCAAACAGTAAAAAAAGATCTACTTCTAACATTCTCTCTGGTGCAGAATGACAGCCCAAGGCTTATGTATGATCTAATCTTCTCCAGGCTGGGAGAAAGCATCGGTTAGAGGGAAACAGTAAGGAGTACACTTTGCAATGAAGCAATTAAATCGCTTATCTGGGAGAAGGAACACATAGAAACATACACATGCATATTCTTAGATGCATTTGTATTTTGTTTGGCCCAGTTTACTGTCAAGTGACACAGTTTTGAAAGGAGAGAGTCCTCCCACTCCAGAACCGCTTACACTCGAGTGCTAAGGCAGGTTCTTGAGATATAGCAGGGTACTTGTATGTGGGTCTGGAAGATGGATGGATGAGTGATGGAAGAGTCTGGGTATCCTAGGATGTGATTCCACTTTTCCTAAAGCAGATGTTTAAAAGCAGTTAAGATTAAGTACGCCCTAAAGCCACCAGTTCCTCTCCAAGGATGATAAAGTGCCCTGGGTGATAAGTTCTAGAAATCTCCATTGTAAATGTCTCTGTCCGAATGATAAGAATTCTGTCCTTTGTATGCTCCCAGGACACTTTTACCTTGTCAGTGTATGAAACAAGAGCTTTGAAAGACCATTTACTTTCATCTTAAAACAATAATGGTGTTTGCACAAACTTCTCTGCTGTACAGAACATACGCAAAACTACTCCACTAAGCTTACTGCACAGGTAGTAACCATTTGATTAGGGGCAGCAGTAAGCACATAAGCATGGAAGGTGCAGACAACAGCATTTTACCCTCAACTGGGCTAAAAGCCATACAAATGCTTTTATAGGTACAAGCCAATAGAGTTATTACAGTTTTATAATAAGCTACAAGGTCTTTATCAATGATCAGTATCACAATATTTGAGCAGATTCTTTTTTGAACCATTTCTATGAGCACTTAGCAGCAGAAACAGCCACAGGCATCTAAAAAGGTTTACTACAATTGCAGAACGAATAAATTGATACTTGCCAGAGCAATAAAACCTCAGAGTTACAAAGGTTGAAAGGCAACACACGTACATAGCTAGGACTAAATATAAGAAAAAATAAGCATGAAGTGCCCAATGTATAATGAGTAAAATAAAAGCAAAGAAAATTATGACAGTGCACAATTTTTATAAGCAGAAAAAGAAAATAAGATACAACATCTCCCTCCTCTTAAAGCCTGTCTTTTATATCTCCTAGAACAGCCTCTTGTCTGTATACTACCACCAAGCTCATCTGAAAAGAATCCTAAATTTCCAAATCTGGTAGGAGATACAAAAGCCTACAGATTTTATTGCTTTTTGATGTTTGGGGGATTTGCACTTGCTGTTTATTCAGTAGGCTGCACTAAAGCAGAACTATATTCACCACTTCATAAGCCTCAAAGTCTTTCCTTTTTTGCAACTTCCTATGTTGTCCTTTTCATTATTATCTCTATTGCAATTACCAAAGGGTTTCACTAAATACTGTTACATATGGCATTAGTCATCCTACATAACTAATTATAAATAATTGATTCATTAATGTACTTTTCTAAAATAAATAGGCAGCATCTAGTACTTGTAGATGCTGTACATGTATTATTCATACGCCTTCATAAAGACCCAGTTACTCTTGAGTCCAAAACTGCAAAATGTCTTTAGTTTGCAAGGCAAAGGAAGCTGCACAATAAAATAGATTACTCAGTGATTCCTGGGTTTAAAGAATGGGCTTACAGAGTGGGAGTACTATTACTATTGAAATTATTACATATGGAGTTTTTAACTGGAAAAAAACTATTCATTTCTATTATGTACCATATTTGTCTCTATTTTGTACAAACTAACACATTTCCTACAGTTAGGAATATTATACATTTTTACAACAGAAAAAATACCCAGGAGATCTACCTATGCCTTTTACAAGTGTAAAGTGTGCATGCAAACTATGCAGCTGTACAAAAGCAGATAA